GCCGTTTGTTTGCAGCTTATCCACACGACCTACTAACACAACCTACAGTCTTTAAACACTAATCACTGTTGCATGTCAAGGCAGAGATCAACAAACAATGAAGTCTAGGAAAAAAAACTAGAACAAGGATATTTCAGATGAGACCTGGTTCAACATACAAACAGCACACAGTACATCTTACCCGTCAGCAAATCAAGGAGCTCCTTGTATGTACGCAATGTTTCGTTATATTTCTCAATAGCACTGCTGAGCTCATCTTTTTTCCTGGTCAGTTCAGACATTTTTTGCTGGTTTTGTGAGTCTAAAATGGAAAAAAACGAAGAATTAATTGTTTATCAATTAACAGTGAATTGTCAGAAGGCAAATCTAAGCAATAGTACTATAGTAGTGTAACAGTAGTAATACTATTATTAATACTACTCTTAAGTATAATAGCTTTAAATAGCATTTCAGTTTTTTGGCTCACAGGTAGTGATCAAAGTGGGCTGGAATGATTAGATCTGATAAATAGTTTAATATATTGTAATACAGAGATTTCTTTTGTTAGAGCTTCCAGCTAAAAGCATGCAGATACTTCTTCAACAAGTCCGAATCTAAAGTCACCCCACAGTCCTTCATTATATGTTCACGTGTAGTAAAAAAAGGAAAGAAAAAAAGTTTAAAAGACATGTATTAGTGAATTTTGTAAAAACAAAAACAAAAAAAAATGTATAAAAACAACAAAATTAAAGTAATGCTTTAAGTTTTCAGAAGCTGCACGTAATAGCATTTACCACTCAGTTTTTCCATACCATTGTAAAAAAGGAAGGGGAGCTCAAAAGCAGTCAGGGTTATGAGATGGACAGACACTTCAGGTTTGAAAACAAGGATGTAGGTGCTGCTATTGTCACCGGGGCTATTCTCCCTGATAGCCAGCCTCTGAGGAGAGCAAGTGAACAATTATCATAAGCCCTGAGGGGCCCTTAAATTCCAAAACAAAAGCTGGTCCTGTGAAGAATGGTTACTCACAGGGATGTGGGCCTTGCCCTCAACTAAGTTAATTGCAAGGCTTCTTCCTCCTCTTTCAAAAAGAGGGAAGCTTTTGTTTCTCTCTCCATCTGAGGACTTTATAGTGATGATCACCTTCCCTCCCAGGTCCTGCCCCGCTGGGTTGCCATACAAATCCTGGAATCAACCATGGAAATTCACTCACTATGACTGCAAAGTTTATTTATGTCAGTGAAAAGTGAAGCCTGCCTCTGCTATTTTACAATAAATAAATAGCTTACCATTATCCTCAGTGTCATATTCTTAACCAAGGTTCGGCTGGCAATGTCCTCGCTGTAGGAAACAACTGGGTTTGGAGGGTCAGAGACAGGTCCCAGTTTAACAGGCTGGTTGGCCACCACATCTATACGAATCTTAGAGATGGGAAGAAGCACTGAGGTCAGTCAGTTCTCTCAGTGAGTAACACTACAGCTCCACGGCCTGCAACAGCTTAATGACCAACTACTCTCCAGTATAATAGAGAAAAATAATGAGAATGTGGAGGATGGCTTAATATGCTTTATGGGTGTTTGAAAACAAAATGTGAATGCGTTAAAAATGTTTTATGTTTTTTATTATATATTCAAACCAACCTGATTGCTGTACAGAACGTCAGTTCTGTCAAAACGAAGAGAAAACTGTATGGTGTGTTTTCCAGCTTCCTTTGGGATGTTGTTGTTCCTGCAAGGAAACGCACAGTAGACTTTTTTTCAATATCATCATCATTATCCTGACAAAAACCTACATTCTGGAAAATGGGCTTATATGCTGTTTCATTGAGCCAGCTAAGACGACAGGACCCCTTGCATACTTAGGGTGACCAACCGTCCTCTTTTCCCCGGACATGTCCACTTTTCACGTTCTGTCCGGGGGGATTTTCGAGATTGATAAAAATGTCCGGGTTTTCCTGTATTCCGACAGAGGACCCATGTGTGTGACGTCATCCCCGAACTGCTGTTTTGTGAGCGTATGTTCTGCGCTCACAGATGGGACTGACAGCATGCAACAACGTACCTAATGATGTTTAAAAGATCCCAAAGCGCAAGTGCATCTTTTCAGACGAACTGCAAAAGAAATTTCCCTCGTACCGACCATAGCTGGACTGGCCATCGGGCATACCGGGCAAATGCCTGGTGGGCCGATGGTGATTTGTTGTTGTTGTTGTAACGGTATAAACAATGAAAGGTGGTGGGTTGGCCAGATGCTGGCCGATGTGTAAAAATAACTCAGTTGTTTGGTGGTGGCTATGGCGGAGCTTCGACAGAGGCCAGCAGGTGGATGAGGGAAAAACGGGAGGCAGGAGGAGGAGAG